TTGAACTGACCTGAACTGTTCCAAAACCAATCTAATACACCAAATGCCATGTACATTTGAGTTTGTGTGTTTGTGTGTGTGTAAGTAGTGTATATGCATATGTACAATTAACAGGAAGGTGTAGCTGCAGGTTTTGCTGTAGTTTTTCAAAACAATGCTCAGCAGTGAGACTCTTTTCTCTCTGTTCCTTTGTTGGAGTGGCGCTGCCTCTTTACTGCTGCCCCCTGCTGGCCAGTTAGAGCGTCACTGGCCATCTATTGAGACAGATGTAGGCAGGGATTGATGGGGGTAAGGAGTGAGTAAGGTGAGTGTTAGAGTAGGTTTGTACATGCATGCAGGGGATATGGAGTTATAAAATCAGTGTAAATTCTCTGGAATAAAGTCCCAATTTCCAGTTTGAATCAGGGTACTATAAGTCACATAAATGGGAATCATAAAATGTTTTCCTCCCTTTCCTCTCTGTTGTAACATTGGATAACACATTTTGAGATGCTTACATGATATTTATTAATTTAAAAAGATAAAATTTGAATTTGAAGTTAAACTTGAATAATACATTGTTTCTTATTTTGATGTTTTTTTTTCCGTGTTATGTCTGGAAATATGTATGGGTTTTATTTTTAAATCAATTCAATTTCATTCTCAGGAAGCTTTAACTTTAAGCTTTGATGATTGGCATTTGATGGTCAAACGTGAAATATGTTTCTAAATTAATTTCATTAACTGAATTTATTTGTTGTTTATTGGAATGTTGGGTCTCCTGTTGAAATCATTGTCAGATGTTCTGTAAATTTGAAAGTTTTGCTGTTTCTCATAGTGAAAGGTTTGTTTTCCTCTTGTACCTGAGGAGATAAAGTTATATGTTTTCAGGCTTTTTACAGGCTTTACCTATTGATTCTCATTTAAACACAGTGTGTGTCATTTCAAACAGCATTTAGGAACATTTGAGATCTTTAGGTAGAGATACACAATATCATGCTGAAGAGAAGCATAGCATACAGTATGTATGAAATTGAGAAAATCAAAGGTGCTTGAAAATTTAGAGAAAAACACTAACCAGGGAAATCTGCAGACCCCTGCTTTCAGAGGCAAGGTTAAAAAAACAGGGAAAAAAAATAAAAAAAACAACTTCTCTATAAAAGTGTATGATATGAGTGAATTCTGAGCAGTATATGTAACTCACTGTAAGTACCATGTACATCAATGGTTTTACTTTCTGTTACTTTCAGGCACATGATTTCACTTGCTGTTATTTTCAGGGACATGGACGCAGAGTTGTCAGGTCCATCGTTTTTCACTCCACACCAGTAGGTGTCAGTGTTTCTCTCCTGCAGCTTTCTCAGAGACACAGTGAAGAGCTGCGCAGGGTCATCTGTGATTGACACACCTCTAACTCTGTACAGAGGTGGTACAAACCAGGGTTTTGCAGGTGAGCCATAAATCACCTTTACACCAGGTGTCAGAGGGAGTTATTAGAAGCATGTTAAGAGTGTGATCATGTGATCTATCTTTTGCTTCACACTGCAGCAGACTTCTAAACATGCTGAAGTTCATGCAAAACTAAACAAAAGAGCCAATTAAACTGAAGTCTGACTATCACACGCTCTCTGGACAGAAAAAGAGGACAGGCCTTATTGGATCAGTAGATCTTTATTTTTATTTAAATGGAGACTGATGGAGGCATGAACGTGTTTTGCCTTCTGCTTCGTCAGGTTCGCACTGCAGCAGTAACAAAACTTCAAGTTTAAATACGTGCGGAAACTGGTGTCGCTGTCGTTTTCAGTTAAGCCATTGCAAGAAACCTGTTGATAGCGGCTGAATGTGAGAACTGATGGAAAACACATAATGCAGGTGTCCTTCACCCTTTCTGGTGAAGATTAACACCCCTCTTCTGCCTCTACACTACAGGCTATGCAGTGTGAAATCTGAACACAATCATTTGAAGACATCTGTTGTGACACACTTTGTCTGACTTCCTTGATATCTTTAAATTTCTCTTAAAAATGTCTCTGTGATACTGAATCATAGATGTGATTTTCCTTATTGTTTGTTTTCACGGAGAGAAGGGCACACACAGTTTTTAGTGATCAGCTAAACTGCTCTCATGTGCAGATTCACAGATCTGGGCCAGCTATACCACTGCCTTCATGTAACTCAATTTTCACCCTTTGTTTTCAGTTTCACTATGCCAGTGATTGCATTATTAAAAACCCTCTGACAAGAAATTTTGAAAACGTAATGCTGAGAATTTTAATGCTGCAAAAATTTAGAAATTGAGTTTAATACATGCACAGAGGCATTGAGATGCATTTGAAGTCCTCAGAATTGTAGAAATGAACATCATTGTAGGTGTCAGCAGTTCTTTGTATTCAGAGAGATGGGTGAGTCTTACCAGGAAGCCTAAAGATGAAGAGGAGGAGAAACAGGAGAGGAGCCGTGTGTGTGTGTCAGAGACCCCAGCTCTCTGCAGACTGACTGACGCTTCCTGCTCCTCTGTGACCTGACAGTGTCTCAGACCATCGTGAAACTGTAAACTGTTTCTCTTTCACTCTCTGCCTGCCTCACTCTCTCTTTCACTTATAATAATTGTAACCAGTGTGAGATACAATATATTGTATTTCCATAGAGCGACAATTCTGAGCTTGACAGATTTTCATTGAGACTTTATTTTCCAAAGATGTAGTTAAAAAGAAAGCAAGCAACAAATGCACTGATGATTTGCCAAAACAGCTACTTGTGAAAATAGTTGAGTTTCAAACAGACCAGTGAATCCCTCTTTTTATGCACCAGAGGAATCAGGTCACAGTCATTTTTATTGATTTATCCTGCTGAATTGAAGTCCCTGTGCCCTGCTGCAGATCCCACTTTGTTCCTGTTCCCAGATCAGTTTCTGGTGCTCCTGTAGCTCACATCTCCATGACAGCATCAACATACCTGAGAAAGAAAGAAAGAGAGAGAGAAAGAGAGAGAGACAGCGAGAAAGAAAATGACTGCTTGGAGACTACAATATAAACAATAAATGAGAGATTTTAATATTCTAGACCATAAATGACAGCAAAACCTACTCTTCTTTCCATCTCTTCCTCCTCCTCTTTCTCCCTCCATCACTCTCAGAAGCCCCTCCTCTTATTTGTTCTAGAAAAATATGAGATCAGATTTTGAATTTATCCTCATCATAATTAGAAAGACTTTAAACCAAACTGCACTGAGTCTATGTGAGACCCACAGGCATGAATGAGAAAGAGTGAAGTGACTGCATCTTAATATAAATCACTGTAATGCTCAAAGCACACAACACACAATAAGAACAGTAGTCTAATAGAATAGACATATGACTTACTGCAATAAGTCCAGATCTTCAGGGTGGCTATGATGGTGCATATGAAGTAGACCAGAGCAACTGCAGATTTCAGCAGCACATGCAGAATTACACTGTAAAAATATTTAAACTGTAACTTTCTGCTGTAAGAAATCTTTCTCTTATCGCACAACAGTGATGTCAGAAAGATTTGTCAGATCAGAGTTGTGACAAGCATTTTTGTAATGTTCCAGCTGTGTGAACATGACGTAGTATTATATCTGTTACTAACTGGATCTGATGGTATATTTAAAATTTTCTTTAAAAACTACAGAAAGACACTTAATTAAAGTTTTACTTTACCTGGACACTGTTCTGTGGTTGGAGTTCTCCTCAGTTCCATTGGGAATACAGGTGTCGTCAGTACACAAGCCTGATGTTAAAGCTGCTGTCTGCTGTGTTGTTGAAGGCAAACATTCTTGTTTCTGTGAAGTTGAAGTTGTGGTTGCTGTTAAGAGTCAGGAAAATCACCGCAGTAAGTATAAGTAGCTATTTGTAAATTATAGAATATAATTGATTACTGACATTATATTCTACATGAACAAAAGTAACAATTGAATTCAACTTCTCAATTCTGAATAAAGAACCTGTTAATGATATGAGGTTGCATTGAGGTTGCAATATGATCTCTAAACTGAAGACTATTTTAATTGTTTTCTTCTTTACTTGTGGTGGGTCTCTGTGTTGGAGGTTTACGCTTGACAGTGATATGAACAGGAAACTGCTCCTCTCCTGCAGTGCACCAGTACCAGCCTGTGTCCTTCCTCTCCAGTCTCTCCACTGTCACAGTCAGCACTCCTCTTCTGTCATCCCTGATCAGCACAGATGCATGCTGGGATGTCTGAGTTCTCCCTGCTGTCAGACAGGAGCTCTGGTCCAAAATCCTGCACCACTTCTTCTCACTGTCCTTGAGGCTGTCACTATAGCGATACTGGAAGCTGACACTGCCCCCTTCCTCACCCACCACCATGTTGTTCCACACCGACAGACCAGCAGAATCTGAACACAGAGACAGTGCTAATGGAGGAAGATCAGAGCATGCACAATGCTATAAAGTAAAGGTAAGAGAGGAAGAGTTTAAGTTTTTGTTTTGAGTTTGTTCTAATTTGCTCACAGTGAATTCCACCCATTTAGGAGACACTTATCCAGAGTGATTTTCAGAGCAACACAACAGATTGTCATCTCATGCAGTTTTTAATAAAGTTGAAGTTGAATAAATTGAAGTTAAATTCAGTGTGAGGTATTATAAGCAGTATGCAGGCAACTCCGCTCACCTCTGGTGACAGTGAGGGACAGATATGCACCGTCATCTGCAGCCCAGTCGATCTCCACTGCACACCAGTAATAATCAGAGTCTCCCTCCTGCAGGTAACTCATGGTCACAGTGAACAGCTGCTGGGTGGGGTTATCTGTGATTGACACATATCCTGCTCTCTGTGGAATATCAGTGCGAACCAGGGTGGTGCAATGGTTCCACTGTCCTCCTTTACACCAGTACTTCACATGATCTTTATATTCCTGATCGTAGAGGCATGGGATGGTGACAGATCGTCCGCTCTGTACCGATAATTTGCTCACTGTCTTCACACTCTGAACACCTGCAGGGAAGATATGGAAATGCTAGATTTAATTAAGTTAACAGGGCTTGATGGTCCAGGAGTATGATTCTTGCTTAGGGTGCGAGATGTCTTGGGTTCAAATCCTTAATGAGCCCTTGCTTCATGACATTTGGAGACCTACAAGTCCCTGTCCATGTCACTGTCATTCCTCACATTACAGGCAAGCGAAGGAATAATATCAATCCATGAATCAATGAAACATCCATTATAAAATGAGACCTCTGTGGAATGCTGACCATCTGATCGTGTTTTGTACTCTTTGGAAGTTAATCTCATTTGCTTGTTGATGGAATTTGACAGCTCAAGAGGTACCGTCCTTAATGTACCCTTCTGATACGGTTTTGGAAATGTTACGGTTAATTAACTCTTTCACCTTTCTGCAATAACCATGTCTGACCAAGTGCAAGGCTTCCAGGTTCCTGTTACATTACATTAGATTATCATCATTTAGCAGATGCTCTTAGTGACTCACAGAGGTTATAACTTTCCACGTTACCCATTTATACAGCTGGATGTTTACCAAGGCAATTGTGGGTTAAGTACCCTGCCCAAGGGTACAACACCAGTGCCACTGTGGATGGAATCGATCCAGCAACCTTTTAACTGTATGTGGCTTAGAACTGCAAGGATGCATATAGTATAGATCAGCGCTCACATGATTATGTGGAATTTTTTTTTTGCTTTAGTTAGTTTTGTGAGAGCATTTGTCTACATTGCATCACTTTACATCAATGACATTTAGCAGATGCTCTTATCCACTTACAAAGGTTATCATTTTGCATATTATCCATTTGTACAGCTAGATATTTATTGAGACAAATTTTGGGTTAGGTACCTTGCCCAAATGGTACAACGGCAATGCTGAACTGGCAACCTTTCAGTTATGAGCCCTGCTCCTTACCACTATGCAAGTTTTACTTCAAGGTATGTTTTGGCATTGCTTTGGAATGGTACAGTACTACGGCTTGTACTGGTTTGCACTTGTGGTCTCAGCCTTGGCTCTTGCAGGTGTGTGGACGTTTGTGTCCTTCTTCTAATGTTGTTTTGTTGGATGCACCTTGTGCTCAACTTCAGCATTCCCGTCAGGTAAGAGCGTCAGCTGGGTGTCAAAAATTTAAATGTCACATTACTGTATGTTAGCGTACACACATCTTGTATGTTGTTCTGGATGAGAGCGTCTGCTAAGCGACAAAATGTAAATTGAAAAAAGTATAATTCCAGAATTCTTACATGTATGTATATTTAAATAGAGAGATCTGTAAGCCTCACCAAACTTTTGTTTCTATAACAACAAACTGTGAGTTACAAGACCGACAAATTGTGGTGGACAGCAAAATATCACTTAAACTGCCCCCCTGTGAAAAACAATGGCTCTGTATCAGACAGTACGCATGTCTGTGTGCATGCACACATGTGAGTGTGTGTGTACACCTATGTATTCAGGGGCGTGTGTGTGTACGTGCATGTGTGCATGTTTGCACTCAGATGTGTGTGTGCACATGCACAAACACACAGGTATGTGTATTTGTGTGCATGTGTAGGTGAGTACGTGAGTGTGTGTGTGTGTGTGTGTGTGTGTGTGTGTGTGCCATGATCAGTTTTCTGTTTTGCTTCTCTTCCTCTTTTGGTGCTTTTGAGTGTTTCACAGCCACACAGCACTGATAACATGTATGGGCTGCAGAGCTGTTACAGAGCTCAGCTCATAACCAGAAAGTTGCTTGTTTGATTATTTGACTCCCAGCAGAGGTAAGTTTGCTGTAATCTTGAGCAATTTATTTTACCTCGGTTGCTTTTGGTATTAATACATTAGCAGCTGTATTGATAGATAGTAAGTGAAAATTAAAGCCACATAGCAAAAGGTTGTTTAAGAACATATGTAAAGTTCTAACTATATTTGAGTCATTTTCACATGTAATTTGACCAATATTTTAAATTCAGACGTTTGACATTACCTGGCATTTTAATCCTCAGGTATGTTCAATTTAAAGCTGAAAATCTTCAAACAGGGAGCAGAAACGTCAAGGGTAGAGACAGTGAGTTTATTTCCATCGTGGCTGAACTTCCTCTGTTCTGTAAGTGCGGTCACATACAGTACTGCTCCTCACTGTGGTTCTTTGACTCTACTTCCAGATTCACTGCCATCCTGTGTACCCATACCAACTCATTTTATTCTAAACTAGCTAACAAAACACTAAAGCATTGAATGCAATCTGCCAACACACAGTTAATCGTAATTGCACTCAACAGACAACTCCAGGTTCCCTGTGGTCACATTCTGGCACTAAACTTCTCAATAGTCTGTTTATTCTGACCAGAGGAAAATGTACAGTGCCCAGCCTCTACCAAAAACCTGTTGTCTTTACTTAAACAGTCTTTCCATCATGTAAGTGATTTTCTAATAAGATCATAGTGTCTCACCTGGTCGCACAGTGATGAGGAAGAGGAGGAGAAACAGGAGAGGAGCCATGTGTGTGTCTGCAACCCCAGCTCTCTCTGCAGACTGACTGTCACTTCCTTCTCCTCTGTGACATCACTGTAATATCAGTTGTCCTTCATCGCCTCACACTTATGGTCACTCCCCCCTTATGCCCAAACACAACCATTCAAATTCTTTATTTAAATTCACACTGACATGTATAAGGTATATGACAAATTTAAAATGATTCAAGTAGGTTATTATATTACATACATTATCATATATATAAAAAACAACACTATGAATGAGCAGAGAAATTTACAATGTTTTTTTGTGTGTGTCATCAGATCATGAGAAGGAAGCAATGCTTAGAGTTCCATTTTTATTCAGATGGGATTAGTCAGTATGAACTAGACTGACAAGGGTCTGAATCTTTGATTCTCTCTGATTCACAACACACCATCAGTCTGCCTGAAGGAGAAAGAGAGAAAAGGAGAAACAGAGAGACTTTTCAGTCTAAGAAAAGTTACCATCATGTCATTTTGTTTTCATTAAATCATATAATGGATCAGCCAAGTAAGTGGCCAGAATATCCATTCAGTACAGTATGGTGAACTATTATGCAGAAATGTTAAAAAAATGTTGCATCTGAAAATGCAGCTCCAGCTGCACAGCAATAGAGAGATTTCTCCTCCCCATTCAAATTTGCTCATGTAATAATGAGGGACCCATTTAATGCTAATATAAATTTACACGTGCATAAATACACATACCTTTTATGTACCATTTGATAGGAAGTACTGAGTAACTTCTAGGTTAAGAAAGTAAGTAAGGTTCTCACAGGTACACTGATGTGTGAAGACAGCTGTACTGTATGTCCACGTAAGATCTGACCATACCATTTCCTGTAAACCTGTTTTTAAATCCAGTGCCTCAATTCTTCTGTGTATAAAAACTGTATTTTGTGTTTTTACAGTGCCTTAAACACAACGTGTCTGAGAAATGGAAATAAAATGGCAAAAGACACAATTCTTTTCACCTGACTGCTGCCTCTCCACCACATCAAAACTCCTTCCTCTGGTTCGTTCTGAAAGGAGGGATGAAAACAAAGGTTTCATTGCGAAATTTTTGCGATATTTTGGTTACCATAATTTCAATCAGATTTTCTGCAGGATGTTAAAGTTGTAATTTCATGGCTTCATGGATAGGAGGCGAACCAAGACTTAGGGTTAGCATTAGGGTTAGCATTAGGAGGCGATCCCAGACTCACGGTGGCAGGTCCAGAACTTCAGCATGGCAACGATGGTGCATATCAGGTAGACCAAACCAATAGCGCATGTAAATGTCACATCCAGAGCCGGTCAGGCAGCTGGAAAAGATTTTCTTTAATTTCACAACATCATGCAGATGTTATGAAAAAAAAACCTTTTATTTCTGCTCCCTCTCTTTCTTCCTCTGTGACCCATCCTAGTTTCACTTGTTTTGTCTTATTAGGATGAGGGAGCACTATATTGTGTCAGCATTATTTCATGTTACCAGTTATTACCAATAATCAATTACCAGTTTGGCCTCTCTGTTTTAGCATTGTATGTATATACAATGGTCTGCTTTAGGGGTTTACAATCCTGCAGCATTTGAAAAGTTTCCGTAAACAATAACATACCAAGAACCTTGACCCCATACTCCATTCCTCTGCTTGGGTGTGACCCACAAACAGAACACTTACATAAAAGGTTTACCTGTTTGAATCGCAGGAATTGAGCAGGTCTTCGTTTCCGTGGTTGACGGAGGTGGCAGGAGGGGGTGTGCAGTGAGACGGGGGCTCTGAGGAGACAGGAAGCAGAGTGAGATGGCACAGATCAGACTCTTCATACAAACACAGGGATTTCGTTACCCATCTGCGACTCCTGTCTGGGCTCCCCAGACGATCTACCCTTCACCTCTGACCCTGGGTTCAGCCAACGTCCACTCGTACTCTATGCTGTGGCACCCTCTAAGCGGCTCATGAGTTTGGGTAATGTCATCAGAGATGCACCTATCCTCCAATTGGTGTTCACTTTGCCATGGTGCACTGTGGGACTTGTAGTTTGTCTGTAACGTGTGTGAGTGTATCCATGGATCCTTCTGGGATGATGTGCAAAGTGTAAAACAAAGTGTAAAAAACACCAGTTTTGCTTGTTTGCGCTTCTTGGTTTTAATCTCTATGAGCCTGTAAAGAGTTAAAAATGTGTCCAGTTGTGGAATATCCAACAGTAAAGGAAGTTGTGAACCAAACAGTGAGAGGGGTGGCAGTGTATCATAGTGGTAAGGGGCAGGGCCCGTAACCGAAAGGGTTCTGGTTCGATTCAGTACTGGGGCACTGCTGCTGTAATCTTGGGCAAGATACTTCACTCAGAATTGCCTCAGTAAATATCCAGCTGAATAATTGGTCAAGACTGTAACTGTAACCTATGCAAGTCACTCTAAGAACTAAATAGTGTAAGCTAATGTAGTGAATACAGCAGATGCCTGTGCAAAGTCCAGCAAGGCAGAGTTCATCTACAGAGATGTGTTATGGAACGTGTGTCTGTATACTTTACAGAACCAGCACCACCAGGTCTTCCCTAGAACAGTGGGAAACGTAGTGGAAAAAACAGCATAGTGTGCTTGTGCACGGAGGACTGTCACAGTCAGTGAGTC